GTCCAAATTTGTGAATCAAGATGTGCCTCTGAAAAATGGACACCTGGTCTGATTTGACCTGAGAAAGGTCAAAAGTGAAATTGCAAATGGCTCTGTCATTTTATTCCTTGAAACGAGTGCCAAAACTTTTATTCTTCTTTCTATGTTTTTCTTTTTACGATTCATTTATTCAAGTATATTAAAGAATTTTATTTGCAAAACTAGTTTCTAGAAGGCCTAATTGGTGGCAAAGCTTTGTTTCTTCAAATGACTCATGTTATTTTCTTGCATTCTCAGTGAGATTTTATAAGAATTTAAAAGCTGTTTGCATACATTTGATACAGATGCAAATTGCCCAGTTTTATTGTATAGAATATATATATATATATATATATATATATATATATATATATATATATATATATATATATATATATGTAATTATTTCAGATAGAGTTTATCTGCAAAAGGACAATATGAATAAAGACAAAGGCTAAGATAAGTTTTCCTTTTGTCTTTATTCATATCTCTTTATCTATCTTTTATATATATATATATATATATATATATATATATATATATATATATAAATACAGTTTTAAGGTATGCTATTTTTATGGGTAAAAGTATTCAATATCATGGATAGAGCATACGTAGATATAAAATATGAAAGTGAACACTGAGGTCAACATCCAGTGGCGACAATCTGTTTCATGCTTAAACACAATCTTCAGGCTATATATATATATATACCTGCATACTCCATTGCTGGAGGAACCATAGTCTTATTCAGTGTGCATTCACTACTCAATTACGGAGAGCTTCACAAAGATAGCTCTGATTTTAAAACCTAATTAGGGTGGTTTGGAGACCTTGTGGCCCTCTGTGCAGCAGTTCTCTCTACCTGGTTCTGCACAAGATTTCACCACTATAATCAAATCATACGTACTAATAGTCTGGCTGTTTGGTTCTAAGAAGGAAAGGGTCCAGTCTCTCACTCTCTAAATATATATATATATATACATATATATATATATAACAGAGGGTCGTTTGGGAACCTTTTGGCATTCGGTGCACCAGGTCTCTGTATTCGTCCCTTCAAAAAGTGTGGCTGGTCCTGCATGAAACCTTCACCACTATAATTAAATCTTATGTGCTGTTGTCGGGCTGTCGGTTTCCTGGAAACTGATCTGCTTGACCCTCATACGTCGATTCTCAACGGGAGTGTAGACTATATATATATATATATATATATATATATATTGTTAATTTTTGATTTTGTTGCCTGTACAGTATAGTAGGGTCAGTTGGCTACTGTTTGGGAGACAAAAAGAACCATAACGCAATTCACTCTGCCAGAAATTTGAAAATTGCTTGCTTTACTGCTTGGCATTGATGATGGAAGCTCCAATACAAACATTTCAGAGTATTTGGGTGTCAATCTGAAAACAGTGCAGAAGATTTGAAAAGAGCTGGATGAGTCTAATGGTGATTATGAAGGTGTTTAGTGTGATCACTAATGATGGTAACATTATGCCTCCATTCATCTTCCCACAAGGCATCAGACTCAACATTGGGACCTAAATCAAGTGTCTTGAGGAGTTTGTGTTTCCCTGGGTCAAGAAGATGGCTACTGGAAAACTCTGTCTGGCAACAGGACTCCTCACCATACCACATAAGCAGGAGAACCTAGTCATAGCTGTCAGAAAATTTATGCAACCACATCACCCCTTACATCTGGCCACTTAACTCCCTAGACAGCAAACATCTTGATTATTATATGTGGAGTGCAGTTGAGTGAGAGACCAACTAAACTCCTTGTAACATTAAAGATGAACTGAAGGCAATGATTATGGCAGCATTCCCCAACTGAAACAAGGAGATCATCCAGAAAAGATGCAAGAGATCCTGGAGTCGTCATGAGGTTGTGGTTGAAGCCAATGTTGATTTTATTGAATAAATTTACTCTTTAGCATTTCAAGATATTTTTTTATGTAATTTTGGTAAATATACAAGCAAACTAGATTGGCTTCTGCATGTGTACATTTTACTTTTGAATTAGCTAGATGTAACCATAAGTTTGATTTTAATAGTTTCTTTTCATGCACTTCTCACTTCTGGAATTCTTCCAATTTCTTGCTTCTCTGCCACCTAAAATCTTCAAATCGCCATTTTCTGTCTTCCTGTATAACGTTCTTTTTATTGTTCTTTCTACTAATTAAAGTTTTCTCATTCTCTCCCATTCTCAGTAACATTTTGTATTTTAGTGATATCATCAACTTGCTTAGGATGAAATGACAAAAAATTATACATATATATTTTAATCATTTCACCCTAAGCAAGGCAATAAAGCCACTGAGACACAAGGGATTACTGACTGTTAGAGAATGAGAAAAAACACTTTTCAGGAGAGAGAACAATAAAAAACAAGAAGACAGTATATGATGATTGACATTGCGTTTACATTTTTGAAAATCAGAGTTGCCTTGGAAGCAAGGAGCCAGAATAGAATAAGACCACCAAGAATTGCAAGAAAAGAAATTATTAGCATAGAACTTAGGTTACATATAAGCATTTTAACTGTAAAATGATGAAACCTTGTGGCCAGTCTCATACTGTACTTAAATTCATGAAGTCTCGGTACCATATCAAAGAGCTCATATGAGAAATTTTCATAAAGGTATTTATAGAAAAGGCACATGGAAGCAACTTTATAGTGGTAGTAAAGTGACTGCAACTGTAATGCCAGGTAAGGATCGATAATATTGCTGACTTTATCAAGAATCTCTAAATATATAGCAGGAACATTGAACCATATGTGGCAATAATATTCTAAGCATTGACGAATGGTAGACATAGATATGTAAGATAAGATTCTAGGGAAAAAAATTGTCTAGCCTGATACAGTGAACCAACTTTCATAACAGCAGACTGAAGGTTGCAAATACACAATGAATCACTCTCTTGGAGGTTAGCATCAGTCATGCTGATGGATGGTAAAAAGGGTTTACCTTAGTGTGTGTGTGTGTCTAAATTTAAACAGAGAGTAAAAAAAAATAGTGTTTGACATAAAAAAAGAGTTAAGAATTGTATAGTTGTTCTTCACCATGCAATGCTGCACACCATTATACACATGCCTGATGATTACCTTGTGTATGATACCTTGAGTAACAACAAGTGGTGAGATACAACTATATAATTCTTTTTAATACATCCATATATATTAGTATGTATACTGGTAGAAGTATGACCTACTTTCTGACATTTGTCCAAATGACCAAACACCAAATTTTACTTTGAAACCACCTTATGGTCATACTCAAAACATTTCAAGTTATTCCATATTATAATAAAGAAGTTAATGGTTAGAGTTGAATTAGAACAGGAAACAGTAGTACTAAAAAGTGCTCAATACACATATAAAAAGATAAAAATTTAACATGTAGAGCTTTTATATATAGAAAATTAGGAAATCAGCCAATTCTACTTTTTGACCAAAATTGTCTGAAGATACCGAAAGGTTGAAACCAAGATCGTGGAATCACCTGATTTCCTAATTATATATATATATATATATATATATATATATATATATAATGTTATACACTATTACATTAGAAAATGTAAGTAATTACTGAAAAATTGTATATTAAATAAAATGCCTCTTCAGATAATTAATAATGATGGTAATAAACGATCTTATTTAAAATTGCAATTATGAAACATCACTTCATTTTACTGCTTCTTCATGTATTGAGCCCTGTTTTAAATTATTGTTTTGAACATTGTAATTTTATTCTTTATTCTTTTACATTTAGTAATGTAAATGTAAAAATAATGTATATATATATATATATATATATATATATATATATATATATATATATACATTATTTTATTATTATTAGCATAGTCCTTTCAGTATATCTTTACTTATGTTAAGTGTTTCCTGTTCTCTCAATATAAGGAATTTTTTTAAAATTTGTGGACTGTTTTAATGTTTATGTATATATATTCCTGAAGTTCATATCATATTTTTATGACATTTTCTCATATATATATATATATATATATATATATGGCTCTATCTTGTAGGAACTTTATTTTCCAAAATTTAATACAAGTAGGCATGTTACGAATTTTGGTTGGTATGTAAATGATATATCACAAACATAAATTTAAAATACCAGCTTTATTAACTTTTGCACTGACACATTTGTGAATCCATCTTTTCTCCTAACAACTCTAAGTTAAATAGTAGGGTAGACTGGGCTCTCTAGCTTTAGGTGGTAGTGAAACAAGAACTATTCTGAATTACAAACCATTAAGATGACAGGAAACCACTCCACCATCTTTACTAAATATTCATGGCAATAAAGAAAACGAATGTGTGGAGAGTCATGATCTACACTTTGATTGACAAAGCATTTAAGAACCAAAGCCTAGAACAATTGTTTTAATAGGATAGATATTGTCCTTTCAGTATCTTTACTGCATAGATGCTTTTTTTGAAACAGTACTTTTGTCAGTACTTTTGACTCCAAGATGGAGATCAGAAGCCAGTGTCTGGTTGGGGGTTGAGAATTGTCTCCAATTTGGCACTACAATGAAATTAATTGGACTCAATAAAGTGAAGCTTTTTCCCTAGTGACAATTTAATGTTTAAGTAATTTTGGTAGCGGAACCAAAGAGAGACATTTGTATGTAATTGGATTTTCAAAGTGAAATGAGGAATTAACAAAAAGAACTAATTCCTCCCCAAAGTTTTCAAAGACCCGAAGTGATAGAATCAGTCAATCTGATTACTAATTCTTTCTTCGCTCCTCCGAGACTCCATTTGACAATAGGGATGGATGACTTCAAAATGTGTGACATTACACATGCCTTTTGTGGGAAGATTTGCCAACATTAGGAATTATTTTGCTTTACTGGCTCTGTAAAATAACTTTCACATATATTTTTTTTAATTGCTTGTTTGATTTTGACTGATCAGTTTATGTATACTCCTTCTTTCTTCTTCAATGCTTTCTTTCTTTTTCTTTCAGAACCTTGACATTCTTCCCTTTCTTTCTTCTTCAATTTTCTTTTTCTTTTTTCTTTCAGAACCTGGACTTTCTTTTTTTCATTGCATTTGTTTCTGTTTCAATCATTTCCTTTTCTATCAAGTTTTCCTTCTCTTCTGCTGATTTGTTCTCTATCCAATATTTTTCTTTCCTTTTTTGCTTTCTTTCTTCACTATCTTAATGATTATATTTCTTCTGATGATGACAATGATGATTATGTAAAAAAAATCCTTTGGACATCCAAACCTGGATGATGTGTTCTTTGTGTTTAATCAAAAAGAGGAAAGGTTGGGGTGTGTGGAGAGAGACATTTATTTGGGATCCTGAGTTGGAAATCAGATTAGGAACCAAAATGTCCATAAAACGGTCTAAAGAATTCTTGTTATTTTCGGTTTTGGTGCAAGGAATTTGATTATTTGCAGAGGGATCTATTTGTAACAAGAAAATACTGAGATGAATCATTTGGTTCATGCAAAGACAATCTTTTGTGTTTTTTAGGTGATCATCATTGTCCTTAATGATTTAGAGCTTGCTTCAGGTGAGGGGAGTTAAAATATATATGGGTATCTGAGATTTTACAAGTGGTAATGTACTGACTGCTAAGAGTGTTGAAAAATGATGTGGTAACAATTTTCCTCTTTGAAGCTGAATACATACAATGAAATCCAAAATTCTACTGGAATTTAAGTTCTGTTTTATTGTGGACTGTTTGTTGGTTGTAGTATAGAAATAATTCACATAGAACATTTGACGGAGGAAAATACTAGAAAAATTTTCTGAATTTCTACAAACATTAAAAAGCTATATAAATACACAGAATGGCCAATGCTTTTGTCTCGGATGCAATTAAAAAAGTTAAGACATTTGTTTTAATTGGTGAACTAAGTTCAAAATCTGGTTTAGTTTATGTATTCACTTTTTCACTCATACTCTTGGGAAAAGCATGAACTAATGACTTCTACTACCAACTGTGTTATTTGATTTGAATTGGTTAAGAAGAAAAATACATATGTAGTCTGGTTAACCAATGAAAATCAAAAATACAAAAATGAAAATAACAGAAATTATTCCCATATCTCATTCTCTGACAAAGCTTTAATACAAGTAAAACATATTAGATTTATAAGTTTCAATTTGTTCTTTATACTACATATCTATCTATCTACAGTACAGATATATATCTATATCTATGTATATATATATATATATATATATATATATACATATACATATATATATATATATATACATACATATATATATATACATACATATATATATATATATATATATATATATATATATATATATATATATATATATATATATATATATATATATATATATATATATATATATATATATATATATATATATATATATATATATATATATATATATATATATATATATATATATATATATATATATATATATATATATATATATATATATATATATATATATATATATATATATATATATATATATATATATATATATATATATATATACATACATAAAAGAAAAAGCCAACTCTTAACAATATTAACTATGAACAAGGCCACAATGTGCTAACCGTATTTGGAAATTAAAACATCCCTACTACACACTAAAACATAGACATAATTCACACACTCAATTAAGCGGAAAAATTGAATCATCTTGATAATGGCTAAAGGTATAGCCAAATGCGCTTGGAAATATAAAACATTTGGCCATTTTTTATGCACTCTTTGTCCAGAAAAGAAAGAAAAATTAAATAAAAACCTTAACCGTAGTACCTTGTCTGTCATTTTTAATGAAACATGCATAAACGAAGGATTGCTGCCTAAATATACAACTAATATATATATATATATATATATATATTGTCACCTACAATCAGATTGTTTTGCTGTATCACAGCTCATCAGTGTGGCTAGACATCCAATTGCCTCAAGCTGGGAGCGAAATCCAACCGATGTGGCATTAGTTGGAAATTTTTACCCCTGACCTATCAGTGCTCGGCTTTAAGGAGGGCAAATTTTTATGCATATATTCCTTGAATAAATACAAATATATATATATATCTATATGCAAATATATATATATTTATGAATATATATATTCTATATATATATATATGTATATAAATATTCAGGTACAATTAGAACAAATAGTGTACACTTACAACCTTCGTAACATTTAATTTAAAGGAGGACTCAATACATAGTAGAACAATATTATTTATTTTAGGATATTACAACAAAAACATGTAAGAATCGCCAAACAATTGCAGTCGTATTTCAACACATAACAATGCGTCTCCTCTGGCAATTGGAATTACTGGCAATTGAATGATTAATTTGGTTTCAAAAGCAAAATACATCCTCAATTTTTGAGAAAATAAGGCTTAAGGGCTTTTACCCTGATCAACAAATTGAATATGACCTATGTTAAATGGGATACAATTTAATTAAATGTCACATTTGAACCAGGGTATCATGGTCAGATATCAAACATTCTAACCTCTTGGCCATGCCCCTATAATATATATATATATAATATATATATATATATATATAAGTGATTGATCATCTTAATGAATTGATTGAAATGCTACTAATCTTTTGCTACTCTACCACTATTTTCATGGAAGATGTTTGGTTTGGTTTGGTTTGATTTGTTTTATGGTATATTAACCTCAATGGGTTATTTAATGCCAACAAAATTTTCATTGTTGGTAATATTTTTTCCTTCAAAAATCTATTTCTGGTAAGAATTTTCCTTCACAGGTAATATTTTTTTTTTCAAAATATTAGGTTGGTGCAAAATAATGACGTAATAATGTTGTTTTTTTGACGTTACGTCAAAAAAACGACATTATTACGCCATTATTTTTGCACCAACCTAATAGCAATATGTTTTTCAAAAATGTATTGCTGATAATTTTTTTTTTACAAAGTATTTCTGGTATTAAAACCTATTTTTACACTTTCATAGTATTTCGATCCCAGTTTGGGGGTTAACTATTTGCCCATAGCTGGGACCCGAAGAGGTACTACAACCCTGGGTCAGTGTGGACCTGGGAACATCAGCAATTAAGAGGTGGTTCCATGCTCCTCAAAACCTGATCAAAGGCCTTTCCTGTTGGATGTAGTTTATTGTCTTATCTAGGACATGGATGTAGTTTATTGTTATACCCAGGACAGGCAGATGTTTGGATTTAACTCTATTCCTTGTTTCCACCAATCCAGGTCTTCACGGCCAGGATCAAATATCCCCTAATACACTGAGATGACTGAACCTTTATATTCCATTGGTGGTGATCAGTTTCCACTCAGGCAGCTTCTTCCCTCAAAACTGTTCCAATGTGAAATGTTTCCCCATGGGGATACTTCCTTGAAAGCTATGGTCTTTGTCAATCTTTGTCAAACATCAAACATTTTCCCTCCTACATGTCCTATATCTTATAATATGCAAACTTAAGTAACCCTCTACTTTGAGTGACATGTTAGCTTTGCATTGGGTGAACAGTAGTAAAAACAGAAAATAAATAAATGCATATTTGAGTGAGGGAATAATATGTTAGAGTTATAAACTGTGAATGATAATGTATGAGATTCTGTATGGCAAGTATGATCAAATCTTTGATCTTAAAAATGAAGAATCAGTATTGAAGTGCAAAGACTTTCAAAAAAATTTAAAGAATGAAGTAAAGAAGAAATGTGAGATAAGAATAAGGAAGGATATAAAGAAAAAGGTTGACAGGAAATGAAAAAAGGAAGAAAAAGCCAACAAAAATAGAATAAAAAAAGAAAAAAATGTGGAAAGACAAACAAAAAAATGAGAGACTGAAAACCAGGAAATGAAATAAAATGATTCATGAAGAAAAAATATAGGAGACAAAAAAAAATGAATGTGAATAAAATAACGAAAGAAAGAAGAAAAAATATGAAGAACTAAATAACATAAATATTACAAATCAATTTATTTATATAATTCTGTCTGTCTGTTGCATATCTTATATATGTAAATCTTTTCATCCTTTCTATGAATAAGTGTATGTTAACAGACAGATGTTCCCGCTATGGGAAAAAGAATAAAAGAAACAGAGATAAATTAAGTAAAATAAAAATAAATGTAAACAAAAAAGAAAAACATATCAAATAAAAGAATTAAATAATTTAAAAGAAAAGGAAAAAAAAATGGTAAGGAGGAAATCAAGAAAAAAGACCAAGAAGAAAAAGAAGAGGAAATTGTTCTGCAACAGATTCAGCAAAAGATTAATGTGGAAATGACCATTGTGTATATTATCTTCATGCATGTGGACAAGGGCAGGAATAAAGGTAATATCAATGCAATGATTGCTTTTCATCTGGTCACAGATTTATGATAAAAGGAAAGTAAGGAGGTTAGAAAGGAGAGCAAGTAGGTGAGAGAGAAAGAGAAAAAGCAAGCCATTATTTTCTTTCCGTAAAAGGGAAGTCTAAATATATAAAAATTGCATCAGTGATGGTCAATTAGTTCTTTTTTATACAGATTTTATGAGTATTACAATAAGTGTAATGACGATTAGGACTGCAATAGATGGTGGAGGCTGAGGTTGTAAATAGCAGAGTTGAGGAAAAACGTACAAAAGAGAACGATAGAGTATTTTATGATGATGATGTTAATAGAATAAATAAAAATGAGAGTGAAGAGGAAGGAGGAAGAAAAGAAGAAAATGATGATGATGGTGATCATCATAAGGATGAAAAGAACAGGAAGGAAGCTTAAATTGCACTTAAATATACACCCATATATATATATATATATATATATATATATATATATATATATTTCTTAAGGAAGAAGATAAAGTGAATGGTAGATGATTCATAAAAGGAAATTCGATGGGTACAAAATGATAACAATTAGAAAGTATGTGACTTAAAAGGTACTTTCCAATAGGCATACAAAGATTAGCTTACTGTTAGAACAACCCAAGCAGAAAGAAAATTGTCACTCTTTTGTATTGGGACATAATTGCCAAAAGAGGACAAGATAAACAGTTAAAACAATGTTAAAAAAAATATGTAACAAAAGAAATGCTTATAATTTTCTGTTTTTTTTTTTCATCCTTTAATTGTTGATTCACAAATATTTATAACTTTTCACAAGATCTGTGCATACACTTTCATCTATCTATCTATCTATCTATCTATCTATCTATCTATCTATCTATCTATCACAGTCTGCTCATTATCTATTACAGTCTGTTCATTATCTATATATTTATTTAAGTCTGTTTATATCTATCTATATATCTTCCTTGGCCACTTGATTATCTATTTATCTGTTTATCTATCTATCACATTCTGTTCATTATCTACCTTCCTCTCACAGTTTGTTCATTATTTATCTATCTGCCTATCACAATATGTTCATTATCTATCTATCTGTCTATCACTGTTCATTATCTATCAATGTCTGTACATTATCTATATATTACAGTCTGTTTATTATCTATCTTCTATCACAGTCTGTTCATTATCTATCTATCCATCCATCAGTATTTTCATTATCTATCTATCTATCTATCTATCTATCTATCTATCTATCTATCTATCTATCTATCTATCTACCTATCTATCACAGTATGTTCATTATCTGTCTATCTATCACTGACCTATCATTATCTTTTTCTGTCTGTTCATTATCTATCAATCTATCACAGTCTCTTCATTATTTATCTATCACTCTCTGTTCATTATCTATCTATCACTCTCTGTTCATTATCTATCACAGTCTATTCATTATCTATCTATCTACACTGTTATTAGTTAATATACAATCTAGACACAAAATGTTGTCAAAACCCAAAAATAAAAAGTTAATTAATGTTTCAGAATACTGAAGACCATTGCAGCAATGTCGAAAATGAAAAGTTTTCTAAAATTTCAATTTTCAAAAATACAATGCTTCTGCCCACAATGTAAAAGCTATCAAAATGTGGTTTGAGAACAAATCAATCAGCTTCCACAATTTCAAAGTCTAGATTTCAAACCTATAGAGGATATCTGATATCACCTTAAACATAAATTCACCAGGAAAACACTTTTCAATTATTTATCAATATTCATCGGAACACCATTGGCTGTTTGTTTGTTTTTTTTTCAATAAAATGCTGTCTGATAGTTTACCTACAAGACTTAATCATTTATAGAAATCAAAGAGAAAAGCTGTTGCATATATTTTTTTTAATTCATACTTCTTTTGATCAATTCTTCTTCCTGGTCAATAAATTGTCCTTCAGAGCATGAAAAAATTATATTTTTTCAGGTTTAGTTTGTATCTTTTTCATTTTTGGCTATGTGTGTAAATTTATAAGACATGCTGTTTATTTAAGTTAAATATGTCATTAATTCTTGGTTATTTTTTAGATAATTTTCTTGGATTTCTTTGAAATATCAGAAGATTTTATATTATATATCCATCATAATTTGTATCTTTTATTTTATATTTTGAGTTGAGAACAAACTTTTCTGATCAAAGATCCAAGGATATTTCTTCTGTTAATAATGGAGCCCTTGCTTAAAAAAAAAAAAACAGTGTCTGTTTTGCTGTCACTTGCTTCTATTCTTCCAACTTCATTCTCTAATTGAATTAAAACTTTTTTGAACTTCTATACAAATTGTATAAAACCATTTAAGATATTTTCAGTTCATTAGCAATTCCTCAGTGGTTAATTATCAATTAGTTTCAATTCTTTCTTAGGGACTATTTCATCTCTGTGCAGTATTGACAATTAAACCCAAAGAGGGTCAACTTTGCATGGTTTTTTGCTAACACAAGCAGACATTACAATTGCTAGATATTGGCTCCACTATTACTTAATGTTTTGATAGAAATCAACACAAATTGCTTATTCCTTTTATAGGAATGTATTTTGTTTTATTCAGAAGGGAATAGAGATACATTTATTGTAAATATCTTGCATTCAAATATGAGCAAATTAGTATTTTTCTTGGAAATCCTTCATATATCATCCCCATCTAGCCACAATGAAAATGCTTATAAATAATGAAAAATCAAATAATCATTAATTTCATGTCATCTACTAATAAAAAATGGATAATATCTAGATTAAAATGTCTACATAACAATACGCAAGATGTGATTATGATATTAGTTCAAATAAATTAATTATTAACAGCCAGTGTGGTCTGGTCTTTTTTAATATAATATTTTCTGATTTGGTTAAATGATTAAATGTTATTGTTTTTAAATTTGATTTACACATTATTTAATAATTACATATTGCAGTGAGTCAGTAATTAGAGATGCTGTGGCATTTGCACGATTGCCTCAGGGACTTGTTCTTCTATGTGGCATGGCCTTTCAGGACATGATCGATCATGGTCCTCCACAACTTCTTGTCTTTTTTAGGGCATAGTAAAGTTTGTTTTTTTTGCTATATCTGCTAATCCCTTTTTTTTTTAATCAATTACACAAGATCATTAGGTAAGTTATGCCCTTCTTTCCTTTATTCCACTTGCCTTTAATCTGTCCTTTTAAGTGTCAAAACACTCATTCCTCATTATGCGCCCGAGAAACCCTCTCTTTCTGATGTCTTTTTTGTTTCCATTTTCTCTAAAACTTTGTTTTTAAACATAAATTCACCATAAATGTTCAGTCCATGGTATTCTCAGCATCTTTTTTATTCTTTATCAAATTTATTTCATAATTTAAATTTTTTTTGAATTTGGTCTGTACAGTGATCTTGATTTTTGAGTAGTGAAGCTTTTGATTATTCAAAATAAATTCCTATTAAAATTATTTCTATTAAATCACAAGATAACATAATGCTTATATTGTAATAAACTCATCTCCAACTGCAGTTTTATTTACTAATCTATGACACAATGTTGGGTCTCAGCTCATTAACATTATAAGAAAAGTATTTCATTTTTGTCACAATAGGTTAAATGCAGCATTTCTATGAACTAATAACATTTCTATTTCTGGAAATATTTTTCAATTTTGGTGCCAATAAAAATGAAAGAATTTTTAGAGATTCAGATTCAAATTTGACTTGTAAAATATATTGACATTTTTTTAATCATGAGTTTAATTGTGGGGGTTGGTTTTTAATGTGTTGCAGAAGGTTTTTCATAGTAAAATGGTTACATTATTTTTGGAGAGAATTTAACTGAAATGTCTTTTTTTTAGCTTTTTTCAATCTTAATAACACTTCTTAAGTTTTATATCTTGAAGACGTCTGTAAAAATTTTGCAGGTTGGAATTAAAGTAATCAAAAAGTGGGTTAACTTTTTACAAATTGATTACAATATAAAATCAATCTAACAAGTAGTGTCATTTAAATGAATAGAATTAACCCAAATATATTTTTGAAGCTTTTTCTTTTTAACTCTAACACCATTTGTTCAATTTTAAAAGCTTGTAGACATTTGTAAAACTTTCATGGTAGTGCCTAAATAAACTCTTTCTATTAAAACAATTTTTCAGAAAAATAGCCTTCTCAAGTCCACTAATTGTTATGGCTCTTTCTAGTATTGAGGGGGGTTTCCTTCCTAAAGTGATCAAACAGTTGAGCACAATATATAATAAATCCACCACTTTTTTTTTACAATAATGTTAATTCTGTCCAAGGCCCAAGAGCTACTTGAGATAACTGGTTACAAAGTATGTAATATGTAGGGAAGATAAAGTAAAGTCAGGGAGTTAAACAGTTTAAGATTGCAGTGGTTCTGGGGGAAAAACACTTTTTAGGAAAATAGGGTTCTCAAGTCCAGTAGCTGTTATTTTCCTTTCCAGTATTGATGGGAGCTACCTTCCATTGATCAAAAAAAGTGGTGAATATATTTAAGTTGGTAACAATATAAAATCTACCCCCCTACTAATGTGATTGTAAAGCAAAAAAATGAGCAAGAAATCAGTTTAATACTGAATAATAAAAGTATTTCTAAATTTGTCATCTTTTTCTGTGACTCTCCAGATTCTCTCTTTGTTTTGTCATTTTTCCTACTCATTCCATTTCTCCATCCTGGGTATGACAATAAACTACATCCACATCCTGGGTAACTTTATTAGCAGCTGACTTAGCAATGGATTCAATATAGACATTCTGCTTCATGTCTGTTGATAATGTTAGCCTGAGAAGAAGCAATGAGTCACTCTCCTGGAGGTTAGCATCAGCCATGCAGATGGATGGCAGAAAGGAGTCTCTCAGATGATTAATAGAGAAAAGTTTATTTCTCCAATAATCATAACATCAGTATCAAAGCATAAACACAAAACATAGAAAATTGAAAGTCGTAAATATGAGGAAAAAAGCAAAAGTTGTATTTATTGATCAGACAGGATTGATATCAAATTGTTAGTGGTAATGGAAGCAATCCTCTCTTGAGCTATATCACGGCAAAAACCTAGAGTCTGAGTATCAATCCATCTGATCAACTAGCTGATCATACAATTGATAGACCGTTTATTCTTTGCAAACACAACTGTCCCAATCATAATTGAATATCAATTAGTGATATTTTTGAGAACTGACAATATTTCTTTATTTTTTTTCTCATTTTCTTTTACTTTGCTTTTCAGTCTTTGCTTTTTGTCTCATCTCTTCATTTTTTCCCATTTTCCTTTCCATTTCTCTTGTTGGCAAGAAACAGCAGAGAGGTAATTGTAAATTACCAATACCTTAAGAATATTGGCTTTCATAAACAAAGCAATCATATCAAAGTGACCTCCCCTGACCTCTATGTCAGTGATAGACAACAAAACAATTGTCATCTTAAATCTGAGGCTTTTTAGTATTTTTTGTTTATTTTATTATTTTATATTTGACTGCTTTTGATTTGATTGCTTGATCATTGATTGTTTGATCTGTCAAATGTCTTTTGAGTTTTATTTCTGAATATGCATATTCACTTTATTTATTGGTATTGAGACAAAAAAATTGTTTTATTTAATTTCTGGTAAAGTGTAAAATTTAAAAAATTAACAAAGAAATAAAGAAAAGACAAAAGTAAAAAATAGAAGTAAAAAGGACAAAAATTAAAATAAGAATAAAAAATACAGATTAAAAAACACAAAATGAAGAAAATCTCAAAAAATATAAATATAAAAAGATGGAAAGAAAAGAGAGCAAAAAGAAGAAGATTTAAATATGAAGCAAAATCAGGAAAGAAAGAGAAAAGAAATAAATGTAAATAAAAAAGAGTCTAAAAAAAACAAATGAAGAAAGTGAAAAGCAAAAAAAAGTATAAAAAAAAACAAGTGAGTTTTAAAGAAAATGGAAAATAAAAGGACAATTAGAAGTGACAGTTGATATTACAGGGATATATGATGAGGAAAGACAACTTGGAAAATTTGACACTCGTAGGACATATTGAAGGCAAGTGAGACAGAGTAACATACAAAATGAGCATGTGCAAATGGAGGATAGAATACAAAGGAGAGGTACCATAAGGACAAAAAGATTAATTAATTAGAATTTAAAATGAAGAATGATGAAAGAAAGTGAAGAAATAATCATAAAACATCTAAAAAGAAGGAAAATGAAATAGAATCTAAAAGAAAGTAAAGAATAAAATGAACTATAAAAGAAAGAAGGAAGAAATATCTAAAGAGAAAGAATGATGTGAAAAAGATATCAAAAAAAGGAGGAATATGAATCCTATGATGAAATATATTATGAACAAATTGGAACAAATATTTCGGCTTTCTTTTTAGTTTTTATTTATTTGCTAACAAGACAACATCATAGTTAACTTCTTTGAAAGAATAATCCATTTTAATTTTGTCAGCAGAAGAGAAG